GGGAATCTAGCCACACTCCAAGTGCTGGAGGTCAGTATGGAAGTAGATGTACCCGGACCAAAAAACAGCACCGTGGCGGTGCTACTCGATCAGCACCGCCTGAAATTCTTTTAAATCTTGTGAACGGGTGCTTTCTTTGGATGTGGCTGATCAAACCTCGTCTTCCTTGGTGGTGGCTGGTAAAACCAGAACTTGTGATTCTTTTGTTTCTTTTCAGCTTTTCAATTCTAGTTTTTTTTTATTTTTGTCTGAGTAGCAAGTACAATAGCCTACCATTGTGCGAAGTTAGCAATCTAATCTGACCTTTCGGGGCTACTCAGTTATATGTCTCACTATAGGGTTGCTCTGAGCTATTGCTATGCTTTGTCTATGTTTACTTTCATTATTATTAATAAATGAGTGATTTGTTTTTTCAAAAAAAAGACACATTTGGAGTAATAAGTGAATTTAATATACAAAATTACAAATACTTCAGAACATATTTATAATAATTGATAGATATAATTCTAGAGAGAAGTGAGAGCTAGAGTGAGAAAATTCTCTACAATTAATGTTTTCCAACCCCCAACAACGACCCTCAAGGGATGTATTTATAGAGGAAATGTGGGTTGGACTCCCAGATCTTGGATTTGGGAGACCTGATTACAATAATGAGCCACTATTAGGCTGATTACTAAGTATGACTATTACTAAACTCAAATGCACTTATAGAATCTTAAGTTTATAATTTCCTAAATAGGACTAAAGATTACCATTATGCCCTCTTATATAATAAAATGAAAACCTTATTCTGCGATTCATCCATCTCACGTCTCTCTACTTCGCTACTAACATTTGCGCCTCCCCATGAAGCTCTGTCTCTATTGTTAGAACTGCCTCTAGTTATCTATCGCTGTCGTTGTCTCTATTTGTCGCCTCTCTATGCCGCATCTTCCTTCACCATCGTCTTCGCTTCAAGATTTGTAGGTGTTGGTCCTGGTTGTACTGGATACAGTCTAGAGGGGGGTGAATAGACTGTATTGGTTTTTAACTTTTTCAAGCTAAGTACCAGATTTAACAGAATAGCCTGTTCTGTTGGCAGAACAGACTGGTAGTGGATGGGGTTCTGGTAGGGGTTCTGTCAGTTTAGCCTCAGAGAAGCAAAGGCGGTAGGCCTTCTGTTAACTCACAAGACAAGTTCTGCTGAACACAGAGACCAAGTCTTTGGAGTTAAACAATTCAAATAAGAACGATAAATAAATGCAGTAAGTAAATGACACCTGGGCTTTTTATAGTGGTTCAAGGAACAACTTGTTCCTCTAATCCACTGTTCCACTAAGCTTGTAAAAACGTCCGTTTACAACGCCTTAGTCCTATCACTTAAGAAGCTCTCCACGTCTTCTTCAAGTGTAGATGTCTCCTGGGATGCACTTCCTGGCTTCCTTTAAGACTGGTCCTTTCACTGAGCTTCCCGAAAGTATCACCACTTCACTACTCCAGGTACTTGGACGTCCTTCTTGTGAAAGAAGAGTTTCTGTTGAAACAGGGGTTCCTCCAAGTTGCTTCGTTACAAAAGATTTGTAGATGAAGTGCTTGAAGAGTTGAAGAACGAATAGAAATTTGCTTGAGTTGGAAGTAAGAATCTTTCCAACGTCTGCCTTCTCTTGTAGAAGATGATGAGGATTTAATCTCAAGGAGGCTTATGCGTTTTTGAGCGTTTGAATGTTTTTGTATTCACACTGTTGTAGCAAAATTCTTTTGGTTGTTCTTCACAGTGTATCTTTTATACTGGGGTTGTCTTCCCGTTGGAGGAGAAGGAGGACAACTGTATTAAATGCGCGAACAGTTGACTTGACCAGTAGGACCCAGCAAAGTTTGCGGGTTACTATTTTGGGATAAAGCTATCCTGACATTGCGGCCAATCATCTGCATTTACTCTACAGAGTATTGTAGCTTTTCCGTTGAGGTCTTCTAGCCGTTGAAGGAATCTTTCGTTGGTTTCACCGGTTGAAGTAGTATCAAGAAAATACTCCAAGTGCCAGGCCTTCTGGTGACTTCAGCAGAAAGTCTCTCAGAGAAGGTCTCGAGCACTTCTGTTTGAAAAGCTATTAGAGGGTCCTTTAGGTCTTCTGTCAGATGCAAGCTAACAGAATGTCAAGAGGGTTTCTGTTGTAGTGCTGTCCAACAGAGATCCAGAGGTATTCTGTCGGAGTAAGAATCAACAGAGAGCCAATGGTCTTCTGTCAGGAGGTCTTCTGTCATTCGACTATTCTAAGAAACTTTACAAGGGAAATTTCTAATACATTGAGTCTAAAGAGGGGGTACTCTAAATTCCTAATTAGTATAGTATCATCAAAATCTAATTACAATTATTCCTTACAGTAGGTATCTTCTTCTTCAAGATTTGTAGGTATCTTCTTCTTTAAGATTTGTAGGTATCTCCTCCTCCTCCTCCTCTTTTTTCCTCTGATTTTCATCTAAAAATTCAGATTTTGTTCTTGGATTTTTTTTATTTTTGAAAGAAACTTTTCTGATTTTATTAAATTGTTGAGCTTTTGCATCAGTTTTTTTTATTTTTGGACATTGTTTTGTGATTCCATCAAATTTCCAATTTCAATTAAAACTCTTAGTTCTTGATTTTGAATATGCGGCTTCGTGTTTTGCCAATTTTTTGGCATTTTTGTGAAATACTTACAATTATGTTTTGACAGTTTTTTTCTAGAATCGATTTAAAAATAATGACATCTTTTATGGCAGATTTGATGATTACACAATGGCAGAAAGAATTCTTTTTGTTTGGATAAACTGCCAAGTATAATGAAAAAACTTATCATTGCCACACTCATTTTTGTTCGACCAATGTTTCTGTTTTTTGTTAGTCGCCCTCTGTGTTTTGATTTTTTATTTCGTTAAATTTTAAATTTTGTTTGAAAATATGATTTTCTGGTTTTCATATTTTGTGCATCTGTTGCCAAATTTTTGGCATGCTTTTCCAAATTTATGGCACAAAAGTGTTTCTTTTTATACCAGTTTAAACATTTTGCCAACTTCATGACATATTTGGTAATTATATCGCCGACACCGGCTTGGTAGTGGTGGTGCTATGATTTGCGGCTGCAACGGCACTGGTTTGGTGGCGGCAATGGTGGAGGGCAGCGGCGACGGTGACAGGCGGCGACAGTTTTGGCTTAAGGCGGCAACAGTAGTTTTGGAACTGGACGTGCATCTAGGGTTTTAAAAAGGATTTTTTTTATTTTTAATTTTAATAAACAAATATGTTTAGAATTTGAGTAAGGGTAATTTTGTCAAACCAATGCATTTTTAGTCCTATGAAACGTGGGAGTCCTATTTGTGCATTTATTGATTGTTTTAGTCCTATTTTGAGAATTAACTCAAGTTATTATGTTAAGTACAGAGAGTAAAACTATCTCGAGGAGGCTAGGCTGAGGAGACTTGTCCGTATCTGGAGCTTTATTTATGGGAATCCTTTTGTTCGTGTGGGCCCCCGTCTAGCTGAGGGGCCCAGTAAAAGGGTTCTTCAGTATTGTAGTCCAGTTCGTGTGTCCAGTATGAGGATCATGGGGCCTAAGACTATCATATACTCTATCAATATTATTATGCGTTGACGCTCGTTGTAGTGAGTCTAGTGTTCAATTTCCAAATTTAATCACAATCCGTACTTTAACAAGGATTATAATGACAATTTAATCAAATATGACCGGACACTTTATATCTTAATATACTTGAAGTACATCTAAAAAAATATTTAACTAAAACAAATGTCTAGAAATGTACAGTGAAATTTTCTTAATTTTTTTTTATTTTTTGAGATTAAAAAGTGAAATGAGTTCAAATATAGTTTGATTATTTGTGAAGGCATCAAGGATTAAAAAAAATTGTGTCGCACCTTTTTTGCTTAGAAACTCTAGCAATTGAAATTTTAGATTTTTTTTATAAAATAAATTGCATGCTAGTTTGGTGGTATATGAAAGATCATAAGAATTTATGAATTTTCATATATTATTTTTAAAAAATTGGAGTACAAATTAAGGAGATTATAACACTTAAAAAGGAGATATTTTTTTACATTGATCTCACTCCTAATTTTTAACCTTTCCTTCTCCACGCCTTTTGTCAAAATTCCTCTATTTTTAATGCCCTCATATTCAGGTGAGGAGCTAGAACACAGGGCTGGCACAAAGAAATTGAAGAAAAAAATTTAAGCTTTTTATATTTGGGGTGGGTCAGCTTAGATTGCCTCGAGCTCTGCCAATGTAGACACCCTCCCTCCAATTTCTACCCAATTTAGGAATTTGGGAATCTAAATAGTTCATTTTTCACTTCCCGGCCGGATTAAACATATGCTGACAATCTGACACCATACATTTACTAGATAAGACCAGACTTAAATAGATTAGATTAGATCAAATCAACAAATTTCGTAAATACATCTTTTAATATCTTTGCAGTACAAGTGATTTCAATCTACACGTGTAGTAGTGAGTGTAGTGTTCAGTTTCAAAATTTACTTACGCTCAGTACTTAGCAAGGATTATAGTGCCAATTGAATCATATTTGTGCCTACACACTTTATATCTCTATAATTTGAGAGTTCTGATAGAGTACTTCATAATGTACCTCATTTTTACCTCACACCTGTGACTATAAATAGTGCAATTCATTCAAATGATGTCCTAGAATTACTCCATTTATGATCACACATTATTGGGATACGTTTAAAGGTACTTTAGCATGTAGAAGCAAAAGTTATTTAACCAAAACGCATGTCGAAGCAAAGTTGTAAAGTAGAAAGACGTAAAGCAAACGCGTATGATACGCAATAATTAGTGCCATTATCTTATTGGTAAAGCAACTCCGAATTATTTAGTTGAAAATGGGTAAAAAAGTCACAAGTCGTCATTGTTCCGTTGGACCTTAGCTGGTACTAGTATAACTATTCAAATCGATCTTTATTGTTCCATTTAATGAACACCGCGTAAGTCGGAACTGAATAAGTAGTGTTTTACCTTAACTCAGTTGCCGTTTTATACTCTCTTTAATTAAATTAAATATTCGTCTTTAATAACAACATATTATTATTGAAAAGAATTATAGGAGAAACAATGCTTAACAAATAAGCCGATCATATAGTAACAAAAAAAGTCGCAATAATCAATAAATAAATCAATAATCGTAGTAATAATCCAGAGGTATCTACCGATTCTATCGCTAACTATGATAAACACGGAAATAATTTCAAAAATAGAAAATAAAACGGAAAAGCACAGCCAAATCAGTTGACTCAAAACAGCAATGCCGCAGCGGCCAAAGCGGCGCCGGCAAATCCGACTCTGTTCATAACGGCACTGCTAGCAGCGGTCTCGGGGGCGCCGGCTGGACTCATACCGCCGTTAGGCGAAGACGCCGGTGAACCGCTGATGCTGGGAGGAGCCGGCGGGGAAGCAACAGGTGAATCAGAAGCAGGCGCCACGGAAGGAGCAGCCACAGGGGTAACCGGCGGTGAAGCAGATGGGGCCAAGGTTGGTGAAACGGTTTGTACCGGCGGTGAAGCAACAGGTGAAGTGGTTGGTGCTACGGTTGGAGCCGGCGGGCTGACAGGTGGTGAGGCAGTGGGGGACACGGTTGGAGGGGCCACGGCCGGAGCAGGAGAGCTGACCTGCGGTGAAGATGAAGGAGCGAGAGTTGGAGCGACGGTCGGCACTGTAGATCTCGACGGCGTTGGGACGGGAACCGCCACCGTAGGCGCCTGGACAGGGGAAGCAACAGATCTGGACGGTGAAAGGGCCGGCGCAGCTGAAGGAGACTGAGCTAAAGCAGATCCAACGACAAACAATGCAATAAGAGCCAAAACTGCCCCAAATTGAGCCATATTAACAACAAAAAACGAACTGGAATTGCTGAAATAAAGGAAGAGTAGTAGAAGTGGTGGAGAAGGATTCTGGGAGAAGGAGAGCTTTGGGTATTCCAATCGTCCGGAGAAGCAATTATTTATAGGTAGCAAGATATTAGGGGTGAATTGGGAATTTCCGTTCATAAGTCCGTTGTGAACTGTTCTTCTAACGTTCACTTACACGCATGGCCCACACGGCAAATTGGTGTTTTTAAAATGGGCCCAACACGGCAATAGCTGTGTTATTGGACTTATGTCACCCACGCTTGGCTTAATCTGTGTGGTCAATTTTATACCGTGGTGTATATTAAAAGGTCCTTCATGCACACGTCTTTGTAACATAATACATCTATATTATATGGATAAAAAAAATATTTGTAATGCCGACACTGTTTTACAAATTTTGTAGCAATCACTATAAATTGCAACTATGTATACATAATGGGATTATTAGCGTATTTTATTTCAAATTATAATCAGATTTACAAATCTATTCTATTCATTCATTTTTATTTGAAAAAGACTCAAAATTCATCTTTTTCAACAATTATGTTTTTCTTTTTTGTTTTTTTCAAAATCACGCATTCTTATCAATACCAATAAGATATAATCAATACAAATTTGTAAACTTAAAATTAAAAGAAGTGAAAAAATATGAAATATAAATTTAATTTTCTTCTTAAGTTTTACTAATTCATCTATTGAAAGTGCAATTGTTAGAAAAATTGAAGTTTGAATCTTTTTATATTAAAAAAGAAAGTATATGATAGATTTGTGAATTTCATATAGTTCACGATATATTTAGCTAATAATCCTACATAGTACATATATGGTGTTAATTGGATATGTTCTAATATATGGCGTGTGATATCCATAAAAAATATTTCTCATGTCGACTTTTTTGAACATATAATTTGAACATTTACACGGGAGTGTGTACAAAAGTTCATATTTATTATGGGTAACATTTTGGTGACAACACAACTGCATAACAACTTCTACAACTATAAATAGAAACTAACAAACATAGATGCATTAATATAAATATTAATCAATGCAATTTATTTTGTATCACTCATTTTTTATATCAGATTTTAATATATTCAAATCCAAATTTTGCAACTCAATGTATCATTAAATATACTTTCTAAATATAGATTTTTACATCATAATTCCAGTAAAAATAATAATTATTGGTATTGTTGTTGTTATTATTGTTATACGGATATATACACACACATGTATATATAGTTGATTGAATGATGGTTATTTATTTCGAGAATAGACGTGGTAAGGCCTCAATGGCAAGCCTCATACCATTGAAATCTAGGCAAGAATAGGTGAAGCTAGATTTTATAGTGATATACGGAGAAAAAGAAATAAGTATCCAACAAATATTATACAATATTGAGCCAAATTCTACTTCATTCAATATATAATTTTTAATATATAGAAAATGCAAATACAGAGTGATATGTTGTTATTTTTTACTAGTATTAGATTACATATATAACATGCTTATAAGAGTGAATGTTTAAATTTAATCAACTATTTCTTTGTAAAAAATAATTTTTCTAAAAAATTCCGCGTTAAATCTTTGTAATAACACACCTATGCTTACGCCTTTGGTAGTAAAATCTTTGATTGACTGTCTTTTCCACGATTTTCTACTATGCATAGTGTTTTCCAATCATTCCACGCCTAGGCGCGTCTAGGTTCATGTCTTTTGACGCATTTTAGAACACTTTTTATCATATGTATTAGTATTAGGATTTCATCATAAAATGTCAACTTGATAGGAGAAGTAGTTCAAACCTTTATATGCCTACTTAGTATTTTTTCGCAAAATGTGTGCTCATTATTGAGGCTTACTAGTATTTAATTGCTTATTAGAGTTTAATTTACTATGATGTCATATTAGTCTTTTCATCATACGGAGTAGTTAAAAAGATCAACATGATAGGAGAAATAGTTCAAACCTTTATAAGTTTGGTTGTATTATTAGAAACACTTCTTTAGCGAAAGTAATACAAGAACAAACTATAACAATTGATCCAATACTTTCAAGACTTTCATCTTGTTGAACTATTGAGCATAAATTAATACGGAGTACATGGATCCATAGTCATAATCGCAAGAGGACTGGAACAAGATAAATGATGTTTGGCTCTTTCTCAACTGAAACGTTTTATGCCTTGGTCTGTCATGGAGAGAAGAGAACATGAATAATATGATTCAATATTTTGGGAATCATGGTCATTATATAGTGCAGTAGACCTAACTATGGTTCTTATTGACTCCTAAAAGGTAACACTGCCTCTAGCCACTTAAGCTCATATGCTTTATTTTTAGTACTCTATACTTTAGGCTTATATAATCTGACCACATAACTATATTTAGGCTTATAAACAGCTTATAAAAAAAACTATATGACATTATGAATCCATATTAGTTTTCAAAAAGATATTCTGATGTGTACTGTTATACGCAAGAGATAACTCAATAAGATGCTAATGAAATTGGAAATCCTGATGTATTTTTTTATACATGTAAAGATCTGGGGTTTCATCCTAAAAGGTCAACCTTATAGGAGGAGTATCACATGTCTTAATATAGCACTTTGTTGATTCAAACTTTTCCGGAGTGGGATTCTAACACCCCTCATCACGACCAGGCAATTCGTCTGGATCGTGTTGTCAGTCATTTTTTCGTCGGTTCATCATTGTCATTTTTTTTAATCGTGTCGTCATTTTTCATAAGGGGGTTCACACCATGATTATGGATCGATTTGGCTCTGATACCATGTTGAAAATGTAAAGGAGGAATTATTTTCTCACTTTATTCGATGTGCTCAATCCCATATATATGTATATATATATATAGATAAGATATCAAATACAAACCATGCTTAAAATACTAACCTACAAACTCAATAATATGCATCACTTTGAACTTCGATATGCAGTAAAAATAATGTAAAGATGCAGCGATGAGATCACATACAAACTAGTCTTCCCATTCAAATCATCTTTACATTATTTGTATTGCACATTGAAGTTCAAAATGTTTCATATTATTCAAGCCATAAAATAGCAGTTTCATATTTACATTATTTGTATTGCATATTGAAATTCAAAGAGTGCATCTTTACATTATTTGTACTGCATATTGAAGTTCAAAGTGTTGCATATTATTGAGTTTGTATGTTAGTAAGTTAAGCATAGTTTGTATGTGATCTCACCCCTATTTATATATGAATTAGCAATATAATATACACCCTCCAGAGTAGACAAAAATTGTAATTCAAAAATCAATTCTTTATTTGTATAAGACTCATGTAGTTAAACAATGTTGAAGTTATTTTAAAAGTATTAGTGAATGCAGAGGCGTCTTTAGAACTCTGGAGGCCCCAAGCGAAAAACACTTGATATTGACATATTATATTAATGTGATTTTTGCAACACAAAAGACAAAAAAAAGGTAAATTGAATAAAAATACACAATAAAAGAAAAAAAGCATATTCAAAGAGTAGTGAACATCAAAATTTAAATGTAAACATACATAAAATGGACCAAAATTTACACTTTCTCCGCCCCAAGTAAAGATTATCATTTGTCTCTTTTGGAAGTTTCATTTAAAAAGTTCTCATTCTCATTTTAATTTTAGAATATAGTTAACTCTTTTTTGGCAATATAGTCATCAACAACAACATCCAAGCCTTATTCCCAAAAAAAATTGATATTGAATTGATTATAAAGTAAGAACAAAGTAAGATTGATTTAAAGTCACACAAACTTTATTAAATTTGATAAGAGACCATACTTCTAAATTTTCCCCAGTAACGTACTTACAAAAATAAAAAAAATATAGCAGTCAACAAAAAGCTAAAGTTCATAAATACAATACTCGGTAATAATCACTGAAAATATAAAATAACTAAATAACTACGATCATCAAACTAATTAAACATTACTTCAATAATTCATTAATATGGTGGCTAGTTGGAGTAGTTGCTACGAGCCTGCCATTTATTTAAAGTTAAAATCACTTTATCTATCTTTGGGCAACCAATATATCAAAAACATGATTTCTTTGCTTCCAAACTACTAAAATTAAAATAGATAATTTATACTATAAATAATTTTTTTGAGACCCCACTAAAATATGAGGCCCAAGACATTTGCCTTGGCCAACTCCCCATATGACTGCCCCTGAGTGAATGTGTACCTTATAAACTCTTTATATTTAAATAAAATATTATATATATATATATATTTTTATATCATTTTCCTTTGATTTGCTAAAATTAGAATGTAATATATAGATTTAAATGTATTAATGATTTTTTTAATTAAAATAGCTGCAAAGCCTTATACTGGTGAAAAATTTCGCCTCGCTACACTAGCAAAAAAATTCGCCCTGCTAACTGCTACAATCAATTTACCAAACATCATTGAGAAATTTTACAAAATAGGACTATTACTTATCAAAATTTCAAAAATAGGACATCCACTTTTCCCCCGACTCGCATAGGACCAAATATGCGCTGAATTGCCAAAAATGACCTCATTAAACGATACACACGTACTCTTCCCTTATTTGACGGTTAATTCTTTCCCCCGGCTATTCCCGGTTTCCAAGCATCCATTATGATCATGGCAGCCGAAAAAGAGATTCAAAATTAAATGAACATGTATCGGAACGGTTGAGAGCTGCGATTGAAGAGACCAGTCATTCTACGAGTATCAAAAGTGCACTTCGATTCAAAACTTCAAAGCACAGAGGTAGTAAACTTTCGTCTTAGACGACGCTCAAATTTGAGGAGAGTAGAATCGTTGAGTAGAGTTGATGGACAGAGCTATGGATTTGTCAAACAAAGTTTCCGTCAGAATCAATTCCGAAATAGTAAGTACTAATTTCGTTGAGTAGAGGAATGTCTGAAATTGACAAAAGTTTGACAGTTAAAGGAGTTTAGAAAGTTTAAATCGTTTGAATGTAAAAACATTTCATTGCATCATGTTGTTATATGGTGGCATTTTAAGTGTGTATGAAGACTATGGTTACATTTTG